ATCGTGAGATAATTAATGTGAATCCATTGCACATAATGGTTACAAATATCATATCATCCACAGTTGTGATTTTGTTTATCAAAAAAAAAAAAGAAAAAAAGTAAAGGAATCTTCATTTTTAATGATGACTTGTGAGCCGTATTTGATAAAAATACTTGAACAATGTTTTTCTGAAATCATAAACTCGCAAAGTAATAATGAATCCCATTTAGCTGGGAGTTCTAAGTTATTTGCACTGGCAAAAAAATAAATTTAACAATAGTTAAACATTCGTTAAGACTTATGGCTTTATCAAAAGTTAGTCCTTTGTAACTAAAGCTGCACACCTTAACAAATGCCTACCGTATGTTTAAATTTGATTTTTTAATAGTGTTAGTTACCCGATATCAGAAAAGCAGTTCATTATTATCATTGAATAACACTACCAAGAGAGCTAATTACATATTGCGAAAATTTTATTCCTTCTGGTGGTTATTTTGTTTGATTTGATGTTAGTGAATGTTGCTATAGCATCAATCATCCCAACTAGAACTGACACGCAACATCATTTTATCTATTGGAAATAAAATATGAGTAGCATATGCAAAATAGAGTAAAGTAAGTTCTCGTTATTTACATCTTCTTTAATAAGAACAAGCAAATCTGATGATAAATAAGTTTGCGTAGACCTGCCTTCGGTTTATAAGGTCTGGTTGAAATTATATTTAATGCTTGTGGTCATAACTTGAAAAACACTAACTTCTTTGAGTGGTATTTTTGAGTACATCAAAGTGAAATGAATTTCCAGATTTCAAAATAACAATTTACATATTAATGATACATGATGAAACTTTTGACTTTGGTCGTTGACACGACTACAACATTGACTAAAGATGGTTTCTCACAGAGGGTCATTTTGATAATTCGACTAAAATAAAACACTTGACGAAAGTAGTAGATCTTGAAATAAGTAAAAAAGTAAATCAATGGTTTTTTTTTATTTTTATTTGACAAAGGCTCAATTTTTGCCTAAAAATAATAATATAAAAAATAATAATTGAAATTCTTTGATGCTATATCTCTAGTGTTTCCTGCTCGTCCAATTCTAAATCCACTCTAGGATCCCGAAAACTATACGGTAGATAGATTACTGTTGTAATGCTTAAAAAACACTATACAAATCACTAATATTAAATATTTTCTCTAATAAGCCAATCACGCTTTGATTCTTTCCACTTCTGTGGTTGTCGATCACTTTCATTATTTGGTCGGGCAGCACCTTATACTTGCCATAATTATCATTGTTAAATTTATTGGCAATGATTTCCATCAAATTGGTATTAAGTAGACTCACTTTTGATTAAAATTTGGGTCACAAATGCTTGAACTTCTACATTTTGCTGAATATGGTACAAATCACTACTCGACAGAGTTTTGTTGCCAAGTCAACTTTTGTAAAAAATTTTAAATTTCTCTTTATAAAAATTAATTGAAATGTTAGCAAAGGTTAATTGATATCTTATCGGATTTCCATAACACGCTTTCACTCTTCTTATCATATTATCAGCCAATTCCTTGCTGCTTCAAGCTAAAAATACAAGGATACTTTCTCAAACGATATATAAGGTTTTCGGTCCAAACTATTTTCGAAAAAAAGTAGCTTTAGCAATTATAAAAAATTAATTTTTGTCCAAAAGTATTTCGGCAATTTCAAGCTACTAAGAGAGGTAATTTCGGCCAGAAATTTTAGTATAAGAATTAGAAGACAATAATAATATTTGGAGTAATTGTTTAAAAAAATGATAAAACAAAAAAAAAATATGAAATTTTATTATTATGCATTAAATTAGGACCCAAAACTGTATTAATATCATATAGATATTTTACTGTTGCAGCTGGGTCAATTCATATAGTAAAATATCTAAGAAATAAAACGGGTGATTGGCTCCGGTATTTTCCATGTACTACGTTAACCAAATTCCTAAAAAATTAAATTGACATTTTTGACACACGATACATTTTATATTAATTAACACAATATGACTTTTTATTATGAGATTTACTTTTTTGGAAATTTTAACTAATTCTATACAGAGCCTTTTTGAGGCCTTTGTAATAATTTGGGTATGCATAACAATAGTTTGATAATGCACTATACTGTACATAATAGTCAATTTATATTTGATATTATTTTTTTCCAAGAATTTTCACAAAATTTTATCTCCTTTTTTTTTTTTGATTTTGAGTAAATTGATCCTATAAAAAATTCTCACACATGGAAGAAAATCCTGAAACATACGGAGTTATAGAGAACCAGCCCTGAGTATTATTATGCACAGGAAAATGAATTCCGAATTAACGCACCACTGAAATTATATTGAATTTATGTTTACTATCAGTAGTTGGACAAACAGCGTTTTATCTGCACGCTAAAGCCAAAGAATACGAAAACTTACGTACTCAAATTTTATGGGGTTGTTTTGGAAACAATGTCAACGAAATTGATTGTTTGGCAGATAATGAATTGATTGGCATTTATGCTTATTGGTGTTTTTGATAACATTCGATTTTTATTAATAATAGTTGATGATGTTGTCATAGTTATTGTAATATAATGCAAACCCTCGTAATGAATAAAAAAATTGTAATTTTTACTTTAATAAATTTCAATTAAATAAAATTTTTTATTTTAAGTCGTAATTTTTTACTTAAACTTTTACGTTCGTCGTTTTTGACTTAATAGTAGTGAATTTGACGTAATAATTTCATAACGCTGATAAAATTTCGTTAAACACATTATTCCACAACAAAGTCTCTATAAAAAGATTTTTTAAAAATCTGATCTCGTTGGAGCTAAAGATCCCATAATAGTAAATTATTAAGTGTTCTTTTAAATTATACAAGTTCATGGGTGTTCTAACCATCTATAATTAAATTTTTTGTGATAACTTTACAAACCAACAAATGAATGTATACTTATCATAATGATGCTTTAAAAATTATGAACATTTCGAAATGCCATGGTAATTACGAGATTGGTTGCAATTAAAATCTTACAATTCCAGTTTATGAGAAAAGAACTGTCAATTAAAAAAAAAAAAAAAAGGAACACATATATAAACAAAAGAAGGTAAGCAAAACACTCATTTCAATACAAGTATGTACGGTATCTTTCGCTGACTTTTCTTTCTCAAATATGTAATGTGGCTAGATGTTTATTGCAACTTTTGTTGAAAGGTAAAGCCCAAATACTTTTTATTTAAATACGATCAAAGTTAATGGTCATTTTAGTAATTTTTCTATTTAATGACTTTTTTATTTTACAAAGAATTGCTTTTGCTTTTTTCTTCATATTATCAATATCAATATTTTTGTTTCTTTTTTATTTTTTCTTGAAAATTTTATAACATTGGAAGAAAAATAACTACAGTAAAAAATAAAAAGATTTTTTAATCCCAGAAAGTTCACTATATATGCGTTTACTATAATTTTTAGAATTTGTTTAGTAATGTGAATGAATGCTTGTAAAATATAGCATTGTCATTTTTAAATTTTCTTCTGTGTAATGAATGATTAATGAATAATAAGAAGCTTTAAAATCGTCATTTTAAAAATGATCGACGAAACGGAGTGCGATTATTACATTGGTATTATTAGTATTATTATTGATTAGTATTTAGATATCATTTTGGTACGGGCGCGGTCTGGCGCAATTCTAGTATATTAAGTATATTCAAGGGTCCTATTAACATATATTATTATGTTAATATTAATATTTAATCATTTATTTTAATAATATTGTAAATACTACATGTAGCAATGCCGATTTTAAAAAATCAATCAACGTGATGATTATTCACAATTATAAAGGATTAATTTAATGTTTAGCAATAAAAATAACAAGTTAAATATCTTGCTTTGATTTTGTGTCACAGTATTACGGGGTAAAAATCTAAAATGAAAATTGAAACTAATACATATGGTTGCATATAAAATACATATAACAATAACAATAACTATTAATATTAATTTCGGAATTTTTTATTCCGCCCGATAAATAACTTAACATTAATACAGCATTAACCCTGCCGGTTAACGGCATGTTTAAAAATAATTTCTTGGGGAAAACCCTAATGGATAAATATTATATTTGTTTGATCAAAATCTTACAAATAAGGAAATAAATGAATGAACGAATTAATCAGTAACTAAGCGAATGCATTCAATGTTTACTAATATTAATTCATTTTCTAATTTAATTTTATGATAATGGGCGATGATCACATAATAACAATTTTTAAGTTTGGAATTTTTAATTATGTTTAAGCTTGATTCGAAAATGTGGAAAAAAAATCGTTGATGATCTCCTTTAATTTCCTGCAAAACGACAAATCCATCGCTTCATTGATGTGATAATTAATGCTGTTACGTATTATATTTCTTTCAACATAATCCTAAATCCACAATTGTACAGAAAACATAAATAATAATAATCATAAACACAAACACTGGAAATTTACTCCACAAATTTTCCCTTATAATGTTGCTTCTTTGGCGATGTTCTTTACCAATCATATTTTTCCAAATACAACCACGTTCATTAAACAACTAATCACAAACTGTGGATTTGACTTTCCCGAGAAATCATCATTAACCTTAGTGTATTTGCAAATAAAATTGAAATTTAAATTCCCATAATAATAAAAATATATGAAAGAACACACATTTATAATACTAATTTAGTAATTTTAAATAAATGCACTTTGAAAAATATTCTAGAAAGATTAATCCTGATTCCATTAAATGTTTATTTTTAGGAAAATTAACTAAAATAAATGAACGTTTTAGATTTTCAAAAAGTATAAATACAGGCAAAGCCAACATGATAGTGATTATAATTAAATAATTCACAATATCGTTGTTATTTATTTTATTCATTCTCTATCGAAAAAAAAGATCATATAACACAACAAAAAAATAATCACATCACGTAATAAAACGAGGAATAACGAATAATCAATATGTCAGTTTATAGTGAAGAGGCGAACGATGAGGAACTTATAGAGAAGATGGTTCTTTATTTTAAAAATAATTTAAACGAGTTCATCTGTGTGGCCAAAGACCATCATCCTATATTACCCTCTAAAAAAAATAACACGGTTGGGCGTGTATCCAACTGCTTTTTTCAGTTCAAATCTGTTTTCAACAGATTTGCAACTTCTAGGTCAATCCCTGGTTACAACAATCAGACAGTGCTGTCAAAATCCCAATCAATGCTGTGGAAGCAATTCTCAGCCAATGAAAAGGAACCTTTCATTAACTTATATAATACTGCTCAACAGCTTTTTAATGAAGAGTTTCCAACCTACAAATACCAACCAAAACGAGACAAATCAATCCTAAAAGTCCGTTCTATGAGCCATAAAGTCCACAAACGAACCTCAAAAAAGTCAAAGACTATAACACCCACCACCACACCCACAATAGACACCCGGCACGATCTTACCGATTTTGAGCAGCAATGTCAAAATATTGATTTTTTTTCTAATTTCATGAACATGTATGACGATAACTATGTGATAGGGGAATTGTTTAACAGCAGCTTCACGCCAATTTATATGTGTTCGGATTTTTAAAATATTTCGTTATTCGTTCGTTTAATTAATATTTTCGTAATTTCGATTTCGTTATTATCATTTTTTCTTTTTTTTATATGCTTACATTTTTCATTTTTTTCAATTATTATTAACGTATATATGAAACAACAAATTTTTTATTATTTATAATATGACATATGATGCTTATAAGATTTAAATTTATGCTTAAAGTTAAATAAAAAAAATATATAAAAAAATTTCAATTTTTTATCGAACTAATCCATAATTTTTGCAATGATTTTGCAAAAGAATTTTTTTTGATGTCGGCTTATGTTTATTTTTTTGAATTGATAATCTACAGTTTTTTTTTAAAGAAAATTATAATTAATTATAATTTCAAAAAATTTTTATTGTTTTCATTATTTTCCATACTTACTATCACGATGAAAATTGCGGCGATGAGATAAGAGCGATTAAATTAATTAATTAACGAATTCCTCGGTTATCTCGTGGTTAAATCGATAGCGAGCTTTTTCGATATACGAGCCGATGTTTCATGATTGTTATTAATGAATTAATTTATGTATCATAAGGAAAGCAATTTTTTTAGTAAAAGTCCTCAACAAAATCAAATTTATATACATATGTAGTATAACGTTTCACCTTTGTACTACAATAAAAAATAAACATAATATATACATTACTAAAAAAAATGTCATTTTATTAAAAATTTTTTACTAACGCTAAAAAAAAGAACAATTCTTATGCTAATCCTTTGTTCACTCTCTGCATGTAGTCCTTTCTTTTCCTAAACCCTTTGTTAATTTGCATGATCTCAAATTTTTAGTTTTATTAAATCTATATATTTAACGTGTCAACCCAAATAAATAAATGACATTTACCGCAAAGTATATTTTATACCATGTCACAAAGAAACCTGTTTGTTACTTTTTTTATATTAAATAATAATATAAACAAATGACGATATCTTTTTAGAAATCATTGAAATTCGTAATCTATAAAAAAATTTTGTAATTTCAAAGCATTGTTAGAACGTTTTAAAGTGTCTTCCTTTCATTGTTTTAATTCTTTCTTTTTTCACTCGTATGGTTAGATACTCGTGTATTATTAAAAGTAATTAATTAAGTCACGTAAAAAATTAAATTCATAAAAAAAGGTCGCGATGAAATAATTAGGTATGTCGCAGACAATTACACTAAACAAAAAAGTATATGATTGGTTAATCGATTGATTATCGTTTTTGTCATCGTACAATTGATCTAAATCCTAAAATATTTCAAAAATGACGTTTTCTTTAAAAGTTGTTTTAATAAAAATGGTCGCTGCAACCTTCGCGGAAGAAACCTAAGTTTATAGGATTGTAATGAACAGAGGGTTCGTTGTTAAAAATTTTTAATCCGACTACTTGTACTACACACAACAAAAATTTGCAATTGGAATATTTATATTTTATTTATATTTCAGGTATACAAATTGTAAATATTTATTGTACTAACCAACTTTTCTTTATTGAGGGATACTTTTCGTAGAAGATTTTTACGGAAAAACATTGCATATAATTAATAATAGAATGTATGGTGGTAAATATAGGATTTTTTATGAAAAAAATTACATAATCCTGAAAATATATATCTCTGAGAATCCCTTAACGAGGTAAGTGAATTATCTATTATTATTTTTTAAAAATAATTGATAATTCATTACTATTGACCATTTATTAACATTTATATTTTGCTAGTTCAAAAACTTAATAATTCATCATTTGCAACGCATTATAATATAAAATATGGGAATATTTACCAACCAATTTTAATAAGACTGTAATTCTTTTAGAGATTATTAATGGTTTGCAACAAAAAAATTACTCATCATAATCTTCATAATGTAAAAATATTCTTCAAAGAAAAAATTATAATTATAATTATAATTATACATAGATTACATGTTTAGAGTTATCTATCCGACTTCATTAAATAAAAGTAATGATATATATATATTTGGAGCATTACTATACCTAGTTCCTGAAGTTTTAAAGGCGAACCCTATATAATAGCCTCAGACATTTGTAGTTTTGGAGCTTTAATGTCAGGCATTTCAATAGGTTGACTACCATTCAATCACATAATAAAGTTATGCGAAGGATTAAGAAAACCTGACTTTCCCAATAATACACAACATTTTACATCGATTGAATTGGCATACAAATGTATGGATACTAACCTAGATAAACATCGAACTCCTGAAGGAATTAAAGATTAATTTTCACGTTTGTGAATCATTTTTGCACGATATTAATAACAAAAAGAATATCGATATTTAGGAATTCTGGTCCAAACTATTTTTGAAAAAAAGTAGCTTTTGCAACAGTTTGGGCTTCTATAAGAATGAACTTTAAATAATTTTAAAAAAAACTTCGCCTAATTTCGGCCATTAATAAAAAATAGTTTAGGCTTGCAAAAAATTGATTTTTGCCCAAAGTGTTTCGCAATTTCGGCTACTAAGAGAGGTAGTAGTCTCGACTGGAATCCAACATTTTGGTTTTTTGAGAAAACAATAGCAAATCCTTTAAAATGCAGATATTGTTCTCTTTGCAAGCCAGCATGTTGGATTGGGTGTTACATATCAGTATGATCACAAACATACATATAAGGGAAATCAAATAATAAAGATAAAATTTTTCAATTTTCCTTGTAATACCATTATTATTACCTTTTTTACTATATCTTTTTGTTGTGAGACTATATTTTATAGACACATGTTCCCAGTAGGGAAGTGTAGATTCCAGGAGCGGAATGGTCACAGAAATGATTTTTTTACTCCTGGAAACCTTGTCTATGATGTAATAACGCGAATTTTTACGTTTACTAAGTTTTTAGGGCTTGTGTTAGTAAGTATACATCTAGAAAAATTACGTCAATGTTAATAAATATTTGCAAAATATGAGTTGTCTATTAACTAATTCTAGGAATTCAAAATACTTCAGAATAGTTTGTGTAATGGCGATTTTTCTCTTCAAAAAAATCTTTGGGGCGTTATCAAAATAGATTTGGGCTTTTTACCAAAATTAAAAATCGAAAATGAGTAGTGTAACGTTGATCACAGGAACAAAAATTTCTTTGATACGGGGATATTTATTTTTGTTTATCTCTTATAAATTTTATAAATGTAATTGATAATACAACTATACTTAAAAAAAAAATAAAAAGGTTTTAGATTGTAAATTAAAATTCAAATATGATGCGGGAACTCTTTAATTCTTGCGCCATGTGCCAAAAAATTCCATCACACGACATTTAAAAATTAAAATTAATATTAAATTAGTTAAATTCCACCCCAAAATTTTACAACTTTAATATATATTTATGATTTTTTTTTCTGTTCTGAATACTCTCTTTCATACGGGTAGTAAAATAAGATACATTTTCATCAAATGCCTTTTTAAAAGGCTTGGTTTTTTTTCGTTAAAACTTATTAAAGGAATAATTAATGTAACATATCTAGTGAAATCCGGTTTACTCCAATCTGAATGTCTTTGTTTGATTCTTCATTTTTTTCTATTCCCCATTGAATGACGTATATAATTCCAGATATTGATTAATAAGCAACAGAACTTGAACTGAACCTGAATTGAAAATTTTAAACCGGAACTGAACTTGAACTGAACCTTTGCTTTACTGAACCAAACCAAACCTGAAATGAGCTTTGTTGAACCAAACTTGAACATGGTCAAAAGTTCAGTTTGGTCTGGTTCAATAGGAACACTACATCATATCAATAGTATTACATTATTAAATAGGGTTATTTTCTTTGATAACAATTGAATATTTGAGTAAGCCTTGTAGGTAAGTTTTATAATAAGTGATTTGTATTTGAATTATATATTGAGTACACACCCCTAAAAAAAGTATTGACTCACTTGAAAATAATCAAATAAATGTTTAGCATAAATAGTCATTTGTTTATTAAGTAAACAGATGTTATGTATTAATAATGAAAGTAGTATCAAACAAATTGAAGAAGCATCATCATCAATATTACAAGAATGTAATCATAAGTGCGAACTCATATTTCCATATGCCATACCAGAACAAAGAAACCAGAGTCAATTTACATATAAGATCATTGTAATAATAGATAAATTTCTTTGTGACAAAAATTTTTATAAATGAACAAAGACTGAGAAAAGAATCAAGTAATTCTATTAATCATGGCAGACAACTTAGAGGTGTATGGAGGCAATTTATTCAAGGTCAAGAAAAAGAAAATGACATATATGAAAGCAAGTGTACAAGTTGTCATAAAAAATGATCATTTGCAAAACCTGGAATTTATGCTCTCATTTAGCAAATGAATGTAAATGATATTACAATTGGATCATTACAAATAATATTCATGATAACTCTTCTGATGATTCATGAGGTCCATATTAGATGTGGGCAAAATTGCATAATGCATAATGCGCACTGAGTTTTTTAAATTGTGAATAATGTCCTAACAAATAATAAAAAAATTATTTTATGCCTCCACCTGATAAAATTTGGTCTCATTTTACAAAGTGCTTGTTGTTGCAAATTGTTGTGAACAACACCTTAAAAAATGTACCAAACTTTCCACAAAAATGTTGTAATTGATATATATGAGGATGAATTATATTGGGAAAATGAAGATAATGAGTTATCAGGAGTGGAAAAGAATTTAAATGATGGGATTGGGGGGGGGGTGATGAAGGAAGTGATAATAAATCAAATGATTCAGATAGCACATTTGAATTATATGAATCAGACGGATATGGAAATGATTAAGAAATAATTATTTAGGTTATATATATTTACAAATAATTTTAATAGAAAAGATCATCATGTGCATTATGTTTGAAAAGTTGCATAATGCCCATCTCTAATCCACATCAAATAATAAATAATGAACAATCTAAAGTTGATTCCTATTATGGTTCCACATCAGAAACAAATTGATATACCTTTATCTGTTGCATTTATTTGTTGTGGGCTTCTGTACAG